TTCATCTAATTGCCCAGGAAAACACAGCCTCTTTACATTTTCAGCCCCTAGCCCAGTCTCTTATTTCTCGGCATCATTTTCAGAGCCTAGGACTGCCAAGTATAGTTGTGCAGGTTGTTCACTGCACAAGGGCATCTGGCGGATGGGTGATGTGGGCTAAATTTTACTTCCTATTTAGCTTGCCACTAGGTGGGTTCTGGGGAGAGGCTGACTCCGCCCAAGGAAGGGCGGGCTGCCTTTTTTTTATCCGCACAAAGTCACCATGTGGGCCCCATGGGGGCTGATAGCCTCAGGATTAGTCAAACGGTGGGCTGGAGTCCAGGTTCTCAAGTGAAGGAGCGGCCTTGACAATTCCAGCAGGACCAGAAGGAAGCGCCAGGGGGAGGAATGTAATTAGCAGGCGCATCAGGGACCCAAGAGAAGGCCGATTGCCAGGCTCTGCGGATGGGACTCCTCCCTATGAGAACTGCTGAAGTAACTCATCGCCTACCTGCCCAGGTGCCGGGATCCCCTGGAGGGCTGCTGGGTTAGGTGAGCTCCACACCTGTGACGGCTCCCCGATTCCTCAGGGAGGGTACCAGGGTCTCTCCTTCAGAGCCGAGGTCACAACACCGAACACTGGGGGCAAAACTAGCCTGTCCCAAAGGAACCACTGGGTCTACCTCCCGTGCCCACTTTACAAACAGGGAAACAGGCTCAGGGAGGAAAATGCCACCTGGAGTGAGAGATCCCCAAGACTCTCTCTGCTCACCCCCTCAGTCCTCATCTAGGCTCTGCCCTTCCCGCAGTCCTCCCCATGCCAGGTCTCCTCCTCCCTAGGTCTTCACCACTCCGGCCTCGCTCCTACCTCAGTCCTCCTCATCCCACAGGATGTGGATTGTCTCTCTCCATGATCCCCCTCAGGACCTTTCGCAGTGGCGCCTTCCCCCGACTCCAGGTCTTCAGCTGCCCATCTCTCAATGCCTCCCTTCCATTGCGCCCCATCCTCTTCTCCTCCCTCCCAGCACTGCTTTCCATCTATGACACGTGTACTTGTTGTCTTGCTGAATGTCTCTCCAGCTAGGTTAGCTCCCTGCGGGCAGACAGCGTGGCTGCTTTATCCCCCACCCCTGCTACCTCGTGTTTGTCTAGCCCAGTGCCTATCACACTAGTATGTGTTGAATAAACATTCCCTGAACGAAAGAACGGCTGACCACGTGTGCTGTCCGCCTCTTTAATTAGTCAGCAGCATGAAAGACCACTTCCTCAAGTGGCTCCCCCTTTTCTTTTCTTTTTTGCCTTACATAGGAACATTCATTTAAGCAGACATGACAAGGTGTGTAAACAAAGCCATGAGGTCGGCTTCATGGAGCCCGAGAGGTCACCAGCCCCAGGCAATGAAAGACTGAACCCTGAGCAGGCCAAGACAACGGGAACAAGGGGGCCATAATTTAATCAAGTACCTGTCAATCAGTTATTAATTGCTGAGCAAATATTTAGTGAGCCCTTCCCACATGCTTATCTTTATGTGAAGAGCTAATCAAATCCCACGAGTCCTTCAAAGCCAGTGTGTCCTCTTCCAGGAAGCCCCCCCCCCGATTGCTCTCGACCTTTTGACCACTTTTCTTTGCCTTCTCACTTTCTTGAGAGATGAGAGCCGGGGTGCCACTTGTGCCACCCAGCTCCCTCACTTCAACCCAGGCTCTTACCTTGAATGGGGGAGAGGTCGAAGGGGCAGGCCAAGATGACCACCTGGCCCCGAGGGGTGGCCGGCCAGCAGGTGAGGTTATCCCACATCTTGCTGCAGCCTGTGGGGTGAAGGCAGAGGACACATGGGTCAGCATGGCCGCCAGGGCCTCCAGCCTTGGGGCCTGAGCCCACAGGCACCCACTCTCTCCCGCCTCTGCGAGGGGAGGCGTGGCCCTGCCCAGGCTGTCTGTACAGGGTCTGTCCTGACAGGGAGCCGGGACGAAGCCTAACTGCAGCTCCAAGGTCCTCAGTGAGGGGCAGAGTGCCCCCCTGGAGGCGTTTGAACAGCAGTGGGGCATTCGTTTTTGAAGAGTGGGGGCCTCCCCCTGCATTTGACCCGTAGGCGCCAGGTCCTGCAGGGTCCTTCCTGCACAAGGATGAATGGCACAGCTTCTGCAAGACTTGCAAATGCGCCACTCGGCCGGTGTGTAGGTGAAAACCTTCTGTAATGGCCAGAGCCTGGACCTTTACTCCATTTGACCTGTAAACACAAGGTCCTTATGGTGCAGGTTGAACATCATACACAGAGTTTTCCAGGGGTGCAGCTACTGAATAAAGGGAGAGAAGGCTGGGCTTTGTTCCATTCTGAGCTATACCATGAGTTGTTTATGTTGTGGAAAATCACGTTACCTACAGCAATGCTGCCTGTGATGTCCAAGCCAGTGATGCAACCGCGTGTCAACCAAACTACATGTATAGCTCTCCCATCCGCTGAATTTATATCTATAGGTACAGCCTTCAGATTATGTCCTCTTATTGTTTAGTGTGTTCGGGTCTGAGTGTGCAGAGAGTATTTTATTATAAATTACTTTCTTTTACATTACAACTAGAACGTCATTTAAAAAAAAAAAATGAACGCATGTGTCCTGAATCCACGTTCATTTTACAACAGTAAAGGAGGCACTAGAAAATATATTTTATAAAAAGACAGTGTTTACAGCGGGGTGGTGGATACACTGGGGTTCAGCTAATTCTCAAATAGTCTTCATAAAACTCACAAGGCAACACAGATGCCCCCAACTCAGCTGAATTGTGAACTGTGATGGGCAGGGGCTGAGTTCAGAGAAAACCCTGCATTGCAGGCTGCGGTCTCCATCATGTACCTCCTAGCCTGAGGGCCTGGCTGGTGAAGGGTGCACAGCGGGGTTTCTAGGGCTCTGGTTTAACAGGCCGATGCATAGGCCATGGTTTTGCCAGTTCAGGGTCTGGGTGCCCCTCAGGGATTAGGACTCCTTTGGATGTCCTCCCCTGAGGGAGGTTTAATTGTCTCTTTGCAACCCTGCCAGTCCCATAGATTTGCTTGGGAAACCCAACCCCTGAGCCAAAGTCAACGCCAGCTCTGCCAAGCCCAGCCCAGCCCAGGTCCGAAGGTTCATGAGTTCCCAGGAAGGGGGTCTGGGAAGAGGAGGTAGAAGGGTGTCCCCATTTGAGGAAGAGCCTTAGGACCCTGAACGCTGGAGGGGGCCGGCAGCGGGTAGGGGTACCTTCCAGGACTGCGGCAGCCAGGCGGTATCCGCCACTGGAGGCTGAGAACACCTGGATCCTTAGGGCCTGGCCAGGGAGCACAGCCAACCTTCTTTGGGGATCCCAAAATGTCTGCCTCACCCACCCTGTCCTGAGGCGTCTGTGGCCTGGCTCTGGCTCCCAGCGCCTCCTGCATTCCTGTGCCCGCCTCTCTGGAGGCCATGGAAGGGCCCTTCAGGCTAGTCAAACCCTGCTGGTGGCTGAAGACCGTTAATAATACCAGCCAACACTACGTAGCCTTTTACGTGGGAGGCACCGCTCCACCCTCTTTAAATGAATAACTTATTGAAGCCTTCCATTTTATAGATGATGAGTTACTGAGGCCCAGAGCAATTAGGTCGCTAGCGCAGGGGCAAGGGGTGCAGCCTGTTCACATGCTCCCTGTCCAGCAAATCTCTTGCACTCCTGTTCTGAAGTGCTCAGTGCTGACTCCCTGGGGCTTTGCTCTGCTGGGCTTTGTTTAGCCCTCTCTGACAGCGCTGAACACACCCTGCTGTGCAGGCCGGTGTTGCTTCTGGTTCCTCGCCAGGCTTTGGCTCTCTGGGTCTTTAGCTGTGGCTCAGGTCGGGGAGTAGATGTGGAGCTGGGTCTCTGGCCTTGAACTCAGTTTCACCAGAGGCAGCACAGAGCAGAGGGAGACTGGGCCCTACCCTTGGGGAGGCCACACTTGGCCTCAAGGAATCTGAGCAGCACCAGGGCTGGGCTGTGAACTGTGCTGGGGTGCAGGCCAGCGGGTAGTGCAGGGGAGCCAGGGAAGAGAAGCCAGGAGGAGGGATTATGGTCAGAGGAGCTTCCTGCAGGGGGCAGCGGGGTGGGGAAGCTAAAAGGAGGTGACAGCCAAGAAAATGTGGGACACCTGGAGGGCCTCTTGTCCTGGGCTGGGCCCTGGGGGTATTCTCTGTGTGCCTGCCCCAGGGAGACCTCCCAGGTCCCACCATATGTGTCCCCAGGCCCACAGAGACACAGGGCCCAGGCTGGCTGTGTGTGCCCACTGGGGGCTGCTAGCTCGACAGAAAAGATAGCTCAACCTGGAGCCTGGAGCGGGGGGTGGTGAGGCAGAGTGGAAGCCTGTGCTGGGTCATTTTTATAGACATGTGTGTACAGAGAGAGACACACATTGACAAACCTCCCAGACACACAGAACCCCAGACACACATGCAACCATACATACATGTATGCTTACTTGGACACGAAAAGACTGGACACAAGCGAACACAGGCACAGACAGACACACGCACAACTCACAGACACACATGCACAGACATGACTGGGTGTATTGTAGACATTCACACTGACACACAAACACACACACACACACACATACACCAAAACACAGAGACACAGCACACCAGGCAGACCCATCCAGGCATGTTCAGGCTTACACAGACACAAACCCCAACACACAGAATCAGACATGGAGCTGCAGACCCCAGAGTACAGACACGGAAACAGACAGACATGGGCCAGGAGCACACCTGGATGTGCATGAACAATCACAGGAATCCCACACAAGGTCATGGGTAGACTATGGCCACCCTCCGCGGGATCCCAGGCCAGCTGCCTGGTGACAAGGTGTTGGCACCTGACACACACTCTGTGCCAGCAATAACCTCATTAGGATCACGAGGGTGGCCTGCCCTGGGGGCCTGGGAGGGATGCATTGGGGCCTCGAGTCTGAGGTTTGGGCTTCTCTGAGCTGCTATGATCCCGGATCCCACCGTTGGGACCTGTTGAGGCCTGGCTGCAGCCTGGTCCTGCCTCCCTGCCGTGGTGGGGTACATAGGCAGTGGGCAGGTCCGGCTACCCTTTCACCCAGGCCTCAGTCTCAGGGCCCCAGGAGGCTACCCCTCCTTGAGAGCTGGGGGAGGCGAGGCTACCCACTCACTTAGGTGCAGGAGGCAGAGCGCTGGGCACCAGGGCCAAGAAGGAAGGACCCGGGAGGGGTTACGTAACTGTCAGCCTCAGAGGTGGCAGGGGACTGGAGAGCCAGGAAGACATGAAAGATGCTCCTTGCTCTTGAGCAAGGCTGTTATGTAACTTTACGCTCGGACTCGGGGAGCTGACCTGGGAGGGAGGCCCAGAGCAGGCACGGCCACCTCTGTCTCTCCAGCCCTCCCCGTCCCTCTCAGTGAGCCTGGAACCCCATACTCACCCCCCACTCCCCAGGGTAGTCTGTCTCTGCACCTCCCACCTTCCCAGCCTCTCTGCTTCTCCAAATCCTGCCCACCCTTCCCAGTCTGGCTCAAGCGGCTCCTTTTGAAAGAAGCCCTTTGTATTTCCTCCCTTCTCAGCCCAGGGCTGCTGAGCCAAGTGCAGGGCCTGGGGGAGGGGGGGCGGAGTGAAGAGTAGAGGGTGCTGTCATCTGATCCAATGGCCCTTCTGGGTCTGGGCAGCTAGGCCCAGAGGACCTGAGGGTGCTCTTGGCACCACCCTTCACACTGCCAGGCGGGAGCTCCCCCAGACCCCCTGACGAGGAGTAGCTGGGCCCCCTGTGCCCAGCTTTTCAGCCTGACCTTGACTTGTCTAATCAGCAAGATAATGAGCTGATGGTTCCTCTGGCCTGCTGAGGGTGGGCTGGGGTAGAGAGGTCAGTGTGTGTGCCTAAAGGCCTCTGTGTGGGGTGTCACCTCTGGGTGTCATGTTGGCTGGCAGAGCCTAGGGTTGAGAGGAGGGAGCTGGGTCTCAGNCTGTGCCCAGCTTTTCAGCCTGACCTTGACTTGTCTAATCAGCAAGATAATGAGCTGATGGTTCCTCTGGCCTGCTGAGGGTGGGCTGGGGTAGAGAGGTCAGTGTGTGTGCCTAAAGGCCTCTGTGTGGGGTGTCACCTCTGGGTATCATGTTGGCTGGCAGAGCCTAGGGTTGAGAGGAGGGAGCTGGGTCTCAGCCTCCCCCACCCACCACCACCCTACCCCGTGCCCTGTGGTGAGTATTCCAAACCTCTGCAGACTGGCCTACTGCCCCCTCTTGCTCTAGATGGCTTTGGGCTGTCATGTGGTCCCTGTGGTGGTCACATACTGTCACCAAATGTCTTCTGCTTTCCCTCTGAGATGCTAACCGAACAATGGCCTAATCCCAGAGTGTGGTGTCCTGGGGCCAGTTGTCCCCATCTCTGCTCCAACTAAGTCAGGGACTGAGAAACCTAGGAGTGCTCCCACCAGTGCTACCCCCACCTTCTTTGGACTGGGCCAGGAGTCCTGACTGTCAGAGGCCCCCACCATGCAGGGCCCTGGGCCTCCTACCCTGGGTGGGCTGGCAGCCATGGACATCATCCCCACTTTTCCTGGAGAAGAGAGGTAGGGACCCCCAATGGCAGAGTTGGCTCCACTAACTTTTCAGACCTCCAATTTAGTCTGCTCTCCTCGGCTAACAGCAGGGAGCTCCCCGGACCTGGGGTGGGAGATGGGAACATGGAGGTCGGTCAGAGCCTTGCTTCTTCCATCTGGCTCCCCAGCTCCTCCCAGCATCCTCTCCTCAGCACCCAGCAGCTCCGTGGTGCTATCCCTTGCTGACAATGTGCAACGAATGCGATGTGGATGTGAGCTCCCGACATGAGTGGCGGGGCTCCTTGGGGGAGCGCCTGTCTTCCCACCAGGGGGGGCCTCACCTGCTGTTTCGTTCTCCAGCGGGGCGTCCTCCAGGCACTGTTTACGGTCCGCCTCGATCATCCGCACATAGTCACACACCTCCCACTGCAGCCCCGATGCCCAGCCGCTCTGGGGGACAGAGACAGGGACGGGACCCATCAGCTTTGTCCACGGCCCATCTCTCGTCCACAAACTCCAGGAACATGGGCCAAGCAAGGCCCAGTCAAATTCCAGACTGAACCCCAATTCCCAACCACAGACTGAATCCTGAGCCTCACCCCAGATTGAAGCCCCAGCCCTGACCTGGATATGACCCCAAAATGTGTGCATCCTCCCCAAAGCTTGGTCTGCTTGAGGACCCCGCAATGGCTTCTTGGTGGCTCCTCCAACCGTGCTGTGGCTGTAACAACTTTGACTCTTTGTGGGTAACACGACCTGGATGGAGGAGACAGGGCCTCTCCTTGGAGCCCGAGCTGTCCCGCAAGGCTCTGCCATTCTCTAGCGAGGTGGGAGTGCTGGGAGTCCTCTGTCCATGCCTCAGTCTCCATGGATGGGTGGGGCCCAGCTATCGCTACCTCATTGTGGGAGGTGGGCTCTGGTCTCCAGTGGCTGGGGCCAGGCCTGGGCGGAATACAGGCGTTGGGCTGCATCTTCCAGCCTCCATGACTCTCTGGGAGTCTATGCTCACTCCCCTGGGTCACCAGCTGGGAAGGGCACCCTGGCCCTCCTTGCCCAGGCCTCAACTTCCTCCTTCTTAGCTTCTAAATAGTTCAAGCTACTGACTATTGAGTCAGGTCTATTGACTGACGTTTAAGGGGGGACGTTTAAGGAAGTAAGGGAAGCCCCTCTAGGACTGCTTGCCATCCCGCCAGGCCTTCCTTGCCTCTGGGAGGTGGGGAGGGGAGATGAGGAAGCCCAAGCTTCTCCCCTCACCTCCCCTGCACCCATCAAGGGATAGGGCAGACCTGTGTGTCAGGGGGACATGGGCTCTGGGGCCAACATGTGAGTGATAGATGGCTGCCCAGGGGTGATGGGTGCCCAGGAAGAGCCAGAAAACTCAGGTCTTGGGAGCCTTAGGGAGGGGAACGGCAGGTGAAGGCTTCCAAGGAGGAACTGCTGGGCTGGTGGCAGCTTCTGACTGTCTCTGGTTTTTAGGGAAGTGGCTGCTACCCTCAGAAACTCCATATCAGTTTCCTCATCTCTGCTTACGGAAGAGAATGTCACAGTCCTCAACAGGGCTGTGGGGGAGAGTCCAGCAAGATTGTGAGAGTCAGAGATTCTCAGTGTCTCTTCCAATTTGTCCTTTCCACCCTGGGACGAGGTCCTCACCTTCCTGAACCACAGTTTCCCTGTAGGCTAAATGGGCCTTAACCACCTCCCCTGCTGACTTAAAGGGTTCTAGCAGTGGGGCTGTGGGGAGACATACGTAGGGGCGTTTCCCCTCAATTCCTTCCTTTAAGGGGGGGGGG